CACGAACCAATGCCAAGCCTCTGAGGTCCCAAAGGCCATGGAAAAAAGCATCTGCAGGCACAAACAGCAGCTCTCCATGTCACCCTCCTCAAGTTACTGGGCTTCCGAGGCACCCCAAGCCCCTCAGAGAGTGGCCTGGGACAGACAAGCATAGCCACCACCATATCAGGCCCGATGGCTCTGAGCAGACACATGCACCTGGCCCCAGCAGTGAGGCACTGCGTATGGCCAACAAAGAGAGCTCATGTGACCTGAATCCAGGTGGCTAGGTCCAAAGCTGTGGCTCTCCATCAAGGGCAGGTCTGCCCTCCAGAGGACATCTGCTAAAGTCTGGGGAGAAGGAGGGCAGGAGACCAGGGATGCTGCTCAGCACCCTGCAAAGCACAGGACACCTCCCACAGCAAAGAACTCAAGCCCAAATGTCAATGAGGCTGAGGTTGAGAAATCCAGTCTAAACACGTTCTTCCATCAGAAAAAAGGAAGAAAAGAAGGAAGGGACGGAAGGAGAGGAAGGAAAGGAGGACAGAAAGACCTCCCGAAGCTTTGTGCTAATTTAACACTTGCTCCCCCGCCTCCTGTGAACACAAACTCCTCTCTTGCCCTTCCCAAGCACTGACAAAAACCACTCGGCCCTGCCGGCACCCCTCCCCAAAGACAGCCAAGTGATTACTGTCCTTATCTCAGTGACAGGACCCAGGGCCCTAGATACCAGCCTTCCAGGAGGGTGTAGTAAGGGCCGCTTTCCAGCCCCAGTCACAGCCCCACCCACACCAGCTGCCTCTCTTCCAGAACAGAGACACAATATTTTGATACTCTGGAAATCAGGGGGAAACTGGCAGCTATGGAAAAGCAATGTTTATGGAAAACAGAAACCAAAACTGCCTGAGTGCACAGCTATGGGTACATAACAATGGCCCAGATGATGAATGGGAGCTGGACGGATTCCTATTCAGTGCCCTCAAGGAAGCTTCTGGCAGACTCACTTTCACCACTTGACTCTGATGGGGAATCCTAGGTAATGGCAGGAGAAAGACCTGCAGTGTGCTGGAAGCATCGGGATGCCAAGATGTATGCACTGGGCTCTGGTTAATTTCTTCCTCAGCAACTAGTACAACCTTCTGCCCAACTTACTCAGAACCAGTGGGAATCTTTCACTGCAGGAACAAGAACTGGAATAATGAACATAGATGTTACAGTGTCCAACAACCTGCAGCCCAGGAGGGCCGGCATTCATTCACACACATACACACACACACACACACATGCACAAGCACACACATGCACACACACACATGCGCACACAGACAGGCTGTCTCCAACAACCTGCAGCCCAGGAGGGCCGGCATTCATTCACACACATACACACACACACACACATGCACAAGCACACACATGCACACACACACATGCGCACACAGACAGGCTGTCTCTTCCCCTCTCCACCACTTTTTCCAGATGAGGTCGTACTATTCTCTCCCTGGGAAGGGGGTGACAACCTCACCTTCAGTCCTTTGAGGAAAGAATGAAGGGGATGAAGGTGCCCTGGCACATACCGGGTGCCCACCCAGCCTGCAGTGGTAGCTGCCTTCGTTCCGTCCGTCCTTCTGCAAATCACAGCACCCACCTCTGTGGTATTCATTTCACTGCAGCCAATGCCACCACACAGCAATAGAGCGACACAATGACCTGCAATGAGGGCTGCTTTCTGAGGACAAGCAGGCACCTCGGAGCCCTGCAAGCATCCTAGGAGGCTCAGGACGGACAGGCTGCCCAGGAGGTGCCCTTCACTGGGGCATGTAAGGCAGAGGGTGTTGGGCACACGGGCAAAGCCTCCCTCAGGAAGACTGCCAAGCTCCGGATTCTCTCACTACTTTAGTTTAACGCTGACAGTCGCCAAGCTACTACATGAACAATCCCTCCACTTCTTGTCGCCTCCTTGCTCTGTGACTTGTCCCTGTCTCTCAGCTGTCCCACTAGACCTGAGAACAGGCAGCACTCACTCAGCATGCACCCTCAGGAAGGGGGCAAGACCCGACGGTGGATCAGCCCCTGCCCAAACTCTACTTCCGAGACAATATGAGAAAAATCCTGGGTTGAAGGAATGTGTGGAAAGGCCACCTCCAAATCCACAGAAAGGCTGGATCAGAGTCTTTCCACAGAACAATTCAGAGTGTGTGGGGGGGCATTTTTGTGTCCACATATCCATGTGTCATTTCAATAGCCAAAGACTCTAACACAAAGGTTCTGGACCTTAAGTCAAACTCACCCTGCCCACTGGGCCCTGTCTGTAGCAGCTGGGCTGTAGACTCTCTGTTGGCAGCTGGTCTGTTTGCAGGTCGCCTTCAGCTAACCCCAGACTGTGTGCCAAGCCTGGCTTATCCATGTGCCTGTCCAGGGTCCAGCCTTCTACTGGGCTCGGGAAGAGGTTCAGTAAACATCTTGTAATGGACAAAAGCATGTGTGCATACCTGTGACTGCCAGTGTGTCTCAAGTCACCCACAGCCCTCTGCAAATCTTACCATCACTGGCCAGTGGCCGGCAGGCACAAGAGTGCACGGACCACACCCAGAGAAGAAGGTCAGCAAGGAAGGAGGGCCCCCTGGGGGCCTGCTCTGGGCAGGTAACACAACCTGCCCAGCCTGGACAAGTGTGTCAGTGAGAATGGTCAGCTTAATGGACTCTTTATTTGAAAGGTTTTGAAAAACCACCACCAAATTAAATAGGCTGTGGGCAGTGGAACTTTCTCTTGCCTTGACTGATATAAAAAGGAACAACTCTAAAACGGGTAGGTGAACATAAAACAAGCTCCCGTTTCCTGCTACATGAAGTCTGGCCTCACTGGCACCAGCAAGCACCTGCATGAGCAGAGCAGGGTTTCCAAGGGCTTCACCTTGCCCAGGTGACACAGGTGACCTCAAGACAGCAAGCTGGGCCCTGGCCCCCTCGTACTGCAGCCCCAGGTTGGTCCTGTCCCACTTGCCCTTTGCTCTCCATGTAGCAGAGAAAACACTGAGCGGAAGAATCACCAGAATTCTGTATCTTACATCAAAGATCCTTCGTCTCTGTGCAGAATACTGGTTTCACTCCTCACACCACCCCTTCCTCTAGCAAGTCTTCTTGACCTCACAGGAGGTCTTTCAGAATGAGGAGTGGGAGGGACCAAAGCCCTCTGGATCGTGACAAGGCACGGTAACGATGAAAACCAAACCTCCAGAACCAGCAACCAGCAGCCTGTGGGGCTTCGGGAGAGGTCACCCAGGTGCAGGCGATCAGGGGTGCCTGTCTGCGGAGACTTTAAAAACAATAATAAAAGCAACTACAGGTTGGCCTGCTTTTTATTATCACTACGTGCCAGCAATTCCAAACAATGTCAGTGACAAAATACTCCTCCCTGCCAGAAGAACCACTTCCACTGCTCTCGCCCCCATGCACACAGAACAAACTGCTGGTCATGTATGATACTCCTGGCTATGACGTACTGAGCATGTAGCCAGCAGCATGCTGCATGCCCTACACACACAACTTCGTTAACCCTTCCATGACCCTGTGCCATGATCCCCATTCTCCAGATCTAGAAACCGAGGCCAAATGCAGTGAAGTAATTTGCCTGAAGTAACAGGAACAGCCTCAGCTGTATGATGCCAGCCATGGCACTCCAGCTGCCATGCAACAGGGTCCTGGTCAGGCCCAAGGGACGCAGTCTGTGAGGCCAACCACTCCGCCACACTGCCTATCTTCACACACCGACACCAAGTGCATGGCGGGCTCACACTAGAAGCAGAACTAGAGGACATGAATGGTCATGACACCTCGGAGGACGCAGACAAAACATCAGCAAGGACTCCAGGACACTTCCGCCCTGAAACATCCTGAAATCGAGTGCCGAGTCTCATTAGGCCACTAAATATCCTTCTCACTCTGGGCAACATAAGCCAAGTCCACTTCCTTGTATAAAGCAACTGTTTTTACAAGAGACTAAGGGAAAGTCAAATATGATCTGAAATACACTGAAGAATCTTTTGATATTTGAAAACATTATTTTTTATGGTGTGTACTTATTAAGATAATCAACTTCCTTTCACCAGTTGGATAACTAGACACAAAGCAGTGGGCCACAGGATGCCAAGTTCACAAGCCCTAGGGCAGGCGAAGAAACATTATTTTTTATGGTGTGTACTTATTAAGATAATCAACTTCCTTTCACCAGTTGGATAATAACTAGACACAAAGCAGTGGGCCACAGGATGCCAAGTTCACAAGCCCTAGGGCAGGTGAAGCTATGGTGTGTACTTATTAAGATAATCAACTTCCTTTCACCAGTTGGATAACTAGACACAAAGCAGTGGGCCACAGGATGCCAAGTTCACAAGCCCTAGGGCAGGCGAAGACACTCCTGCTCCTGGCCCTCCTCGGACAGTACAATAACCCACTGCCTCTAGGCTGCACCTTCCTCAAGAATGGCTTCCAAAAGCCCCAGGCACACCCAGATGTACCCTGGTCCCCTCTGGAGACTTGCAGCCTGGTAATGCCATAGAGGTTTTGGCCTGTGAAGGCTTCCTTCATTGCCTTTTCACATGAGTGCCCCTAAAGTTGCCATAATGTTTCAGGTATTCAGGGACTTTCTGTAATGTGCCTGTCACCCTGTATTTACCAAGGTGTGCATGGCTCCCAGTGGCTAATGAAATGATTACTAAAGAGTTGGACAATGATCTCATTAAACAAAAGGATGCATTTGGCCTGAGATATTGCAAGAATATATTAGGAGCCACTAACAAACACCAGCAGACATCCTTCAGTACAGACAAACTACAATTTCCAAGACAGCTAAGGTTAAAACCATGCATCTAAGAGGAAATCTTCAAACACCCATTCAGGGCAAACACACTTTCCCACATTTCCCCCTGAACGCACGCCTGCCTCTACTCCTCCCCATCCTCTCCTGGCCAGCCCTCTTGATGCTCTGACCCTCAGCTTTTGTTCAACTTCCCTCCCTTCCTCACCTGCCGTGATGGTATCCACGTCCTTGGCTGCCAGCTCTTCCACATCTGACCTCTTTCTCAGCTCAAACCTCCGTGATAAACCTTCTCGGGGCTTCCATAATTCCTGGATCAAGAGGGGCTTCTCATTGTCCCCAAACACTCGAAAGCACTGGGCCTGCCACCGCTGCCCGGGGTCCCCGGCCTGGCCCACCACATCACACAGCACATACTGTCTGGCACACTCGGGGTCCAGGGCATAACGCTCCAGTGCCTCCTTCACCAGTTCCTGGGCACTAGAGGTGGCAGTGGCCAGGACACTTTTGTAGTGGGTGCCCATGCAGACACTGTCCCCAAAAACCTTCAGGACCCCAGGGGCCGAGAGCTGGGTGGAAAGTTCAGCAGGGTCATCGCAGGAACCCAGGCTGGACAAGGTGGGGTCCAGGTCCCGACACTTGTAGCTCAGTGTCCGGGACAGCATGCTAGACAAGAGCTGGCTCTGCCGCTTCAGCTTGCTCTTGGTGGGTGGAGACATGATGAAGTGAGTCCCATAAAACATGGTGGACAAGTCTTCATGGATGGAGACAAAGGGCTTCAGCCAAAGGAGAAGGAAAGGCTGTGGCCTGGGAGAAAAAAGGAAGCTAGGTTAGCACCAGCCATCACAAGAATCAAGTGCAAAAGAGACCCAAGGGAGTCTTTGTGGACTTATCAGGCCATTCAGTGTCCCGGGCAGACGTGCCACCCCAGGCCCAGCCCCAACAGAGCCCCTGCATTGAGGGCATGACTGCAGCCAGCAGGGAGTACAAGAGACAAAGCAGGTTTGAATTGACCGAAGCACCCCTCAAGGAAAGCCCTTACTAGGAAGCATGATGAGATCACCAAAAGTAAGATGAGCTCTGTTGTGAGGTGCAGATTTCTAGAAAGTGCTGGACATAGGGCAAACCCTGCAGTAGGTGTAGAGAAGTAGTGACTAAGCTGAGCAGAGGCTGTCCTTACAGTGCCAACTCTCAGCAGGGTTGGCTCCGTCTCACCGGGCGAGCCACCATCCAGCACCATCACAGCCAAAGAAAAGCAATAAACAACTTGGGGGCAAAGGTTTCACCACTCTGTAAACTCGACTTCTCCTATACCAGTCTGTAATCTCAGCCACATTAATGGAGAAACAAGCATTCAGACATTCAAAACACAGATCCCAAGAAAATGCCACTCCTCAATGACTGGGCAAAAGGGACTGGTCCTGGCTTGAAGGGTAGCAGCGTTAGAATGTCCACACGACCATACTGGACACAAAGGGCTCTTCCAGAACCAGTGGAAGCACGACTGGAATGTATGCATTCCACCCACCACATCCAGCCGGGCTTGCAGGCCCTTCTCCATGCCTCAGAGATGCAATCTTGCTGGGGAGATTAGAAAACAGTCCAGAGAAGCTTTGATGTGTCCTAAAATCATAATTCCAATGCCCTTGGTGCTCCAACGGGCTTAGAGTTCTAGATAGTTTATCAGGCTCCCTCACAAATCTCTGTGGATGCAGAAGGGCAGAGAAAAAGGCAGGCAGTTCTCTGCTTTATAGGAATGGAGGCTTTGCCACAAGGCAGTGTAATACTGCGGTGCTCCAACGGGCTTAGAGTTCTAGATAGTTTATCAGGCTCCCTCACAAATCTCTGTGGAAGCAGAAGGGCAGAGAAAAAGGCAGGCAGTTCTCTGCTTTATAGGAATGGAGGCTTTGCCACAAGGCAGTGTAATACTGCAAAACTGTGCACACATCTGCTCATTACTGTACACCACTTCTGTGCTCATGTGCTCACCAAAAGCAAAGGCAGACAAGACTAATGAGCCAGCTGAAAAGTCTATTTTCTAGAAGGCTCTGGAAAGAGTGGCCCAGGTCCCAGTGAAAGCAGCACTTACCACTGTAACTCAGGTCAGCACTGAATTCAGCTGAAGTCAATTAATACTCTGCAGCCTTGACTCGCTCCATTCTGCGGGCCCTGGACAAGGATTCTGAGAAGGAAGGTGGATGCTTAGGGAAGGAGGAAGTAGCCGGGGAGCCCCTCAAAAGAAAAAGAGCCACACTGACCTTTAGGGAACCCAACAATGACACTGTCCAGGCCTTCTGAGCTGACACTGCAAATCAGGTTACTTTCCAGAGGTCCACCAAGGTTTCAGTCCTGCTCTCTGAAGCCTTCCACATCTACCAGGCTGTCAGGAGTGAAGGCTGAAAAGCAGCCCACCCTTCAATTCCTCCAGAACAGGTCCGGGCCTGTCTGCCGCACACTGTCGGTACACCTTGAGCTCTTCAAAAGGCTCCTGATAGCATCACACACCAACAACTGGGTTCTGAACACTAACATCTGCCCTACAGGGTGGGGTGGGGTCATTTCTGCTCCTGTAACCTATTGCTTAGTTTGCCACTGCAAAGCCTTTCATGTGTACCAGCTTTCGGAAGACCTGAACTTACTTTAAACAGGCATGCTGGTCGTACAGACTGAGCATACCAGGTTCTCACTGGCGTCGGTGATTCAAGCCATAAAGAAGTAAATAAGTCAAAGGTTTTGTTTCTGTTCCCCTGAGGAATGTATGACAAGGATGCTTGTCCAATCCTAAGAAGCCCAGAGCCGGCCATGGCTTCGCCTACAGACAGTCAAAGCCCTCGACTTGTTTACGATGCAGGCATTTTCAGATAGTGCTCACAACACAAGTACGCGGCTTCACATTTGTACAGCACACCACCAGCTTTCAGTCACTCCCAACTCTGACCTGAGCCTCCTGTGGTCAGTTTTCAAAGTGAGTACTTAGAGTCAGAGAAAAAAATCCCTGCAAACAGCCTCGCAAATCAGCACTTACCATCCCTGAAAGGTGCACAACTCCACTCACAAAATTTCCCACACGTGCCTGAAGACACCCCTTGCTTAGAAGCCCCAGGACGAGCGCACACTCTCAGAGACCTTACCCTGCAAAAACACTCAGCTTAACTGGCCACCTTCTTCAATCATAGCATACATCTTTTTTTTTTTTTTTTAAAGATGACCGGTAAGGGGATCTCAACCCTTGACTTGGTGTTGTCAGCACCACGCTCAGCCAGTGTGCAAACCGGCCATCCCTATATAGGATCCGAGCCGGTGGCCTTGGTGTTATCAGCACCACACTCTACCGAGTGAGCCACGGGCCGGCTCCATAGCATACATCTCTGATAGATATTCCCCACGGTCCTGAGACAAACCCAAAATGGTTGACAGTATGGCCCCTGCTACCAGGCAGCTTGTGGCTTGGGAAGCCCCTGCTTCTGCAGTTGACATCTGAATGTAAATTTAATATGATGCCCAAAACTGTGGAAACTGGCTCTAGGCAGGAAAAAGTCGAGTTGCAGAAAAGTCATGAAGTAAACACAAGAGTTTAAAAGGCCCCAGATACAAGGCAGAAAGGAATTGCTATCTTGCACCCAGGGGTGTATGCGGGTTTTTGTAAAGTCTGACACTTATACAATTCTGCTTTAATAAAAAAGAAATAGAAAATTACGAACATGCAGCTGCTAGGTCCCCTCCCAGTGCCTTGGAAGCTTGAACTTCATGAGCTCCCCCTCCTCTCCAGCAGTCTCTTGTGCCAATCTGAAGGCAGAGTTAGCAATACCATGAAAAGAAGGGAGAAAATGTAAGTGGAGAGAATGTGATCCATTCCTTTCCAGTAAGTCCTTGCCGCCGCCGCTGCGTTCCCGCGTGGCTCCCACGCCCGCCGTTAGCCCGAGCCGGTGCCCAGACCCGCGCGCGCAGCAGCGCCTCCTGCCGGCCGCCCAACGGACGGGGCGGGGTCTCGCGGAGTGGGCGGGGCCTGAAGGAACTGCCCGGGCCTCGAGGGAAGGGGCGGGGCCGGCCGGGGAAAAAAGGTGAGCTGTGCGCTGGCGCCTTCCGCCGGCCCCCCATTGGACGGGGACGAGGCCTCGAGGGGGCGGGGCCTCGAGGGAGGGTGGGGCTGGTTGCCGAGAGGCTGGGCTTGCAGCTCCCTCGCGCCTGCAGCCCGAGGTGCCCGGGCTCGGCAGAAGGAGTGGGGCCAGTGCTAAGCCCCTGCCCCACCTGTGGGCTGTGGGCTCTGCGCCCTGCAGGTCAGGTGGGCTGTTTTTGCCCTCGCGTTTTAGTAGCCCAGTGAGTGGACGAGGTGTGGGGGACGTGGCGGGAGTGGGGCTCAGAGCTGTGCCCCCCGATTTATGAGCATCAGAGGCATTGAAAGGGAATAAGGGCAGCGAGTTCTCTCTCCCCTACAATGTGTCCCCCATCCAGCAGCCGCAGTTTTAAAAGACAAATCGGATCATAGCACTCGTGCTTAAAAAACGATGCAGAACAGGGCTAGGTCAGCTCTGCAGCTCTGGCCCAACCGCCTTCCCTGGTAACTTGTTTAAAAGGAAGCTGGTGTCCTTAGCCCTCCAGCGCCTCCCGTCCTCTAAGCCTGGGAGATTCACGGGACTCGGATATCAATATGCAGAATTCGGATCCTGGGAGTGAACTTTTTGTTGACAGCTATCGTGTATAACGTTTTAAAGTAACGACCCCATATTGGCGATGCGGAAAGAGAGTAGGAACAGACATTTATTGACCACCTACTGTGTGCCAGGCCCTACTGGACTTTACCTACGTCAATCAACTCAATGCTCACATCAACTCTTGTGAGGCAAGTATTGTTACTCCCACTTTCCAGATGGGGAAATAGAGGTTCCGAGAGGTCATACTACTAGAGGTAGAGCCAAGAATTGAGCCCAGGCCTGTGTGATTAGATAATAGCCCCATGAACCTTTATAAGAGTCCCCATATGCACACCAACCTCCCCACCCACCCTGGGATGAGAGGCTGTAGCCAAATGACGGCACTCGAATTTTTCGATTCAGGTGCACATGAACTTTGAAGAAGCAATTATCAGAGCTGGAAGGAGAGCCTGGGCTTAGGTCTTGGCTTTCCTCCTAAGATATTCCTCTCCATGATCCAGGCCCTTCTCCCACACTCTCTGCGCCTGTTCTCAACAGGGGTAGGCAAACTGCAGCCTGTGGGCCAGATCTGGGCTGCTGTTTTTGTAAATAAAGTTTTATTGGAACACAGCTACACTCATGTGTCTATATATTGTCTCTGACTGCTTTCATACAACAGAGACATTATAGCTCCCCCAAAACTAAAATATTTATTATCTGGCCTTTTACAGAAAAAAATTGCCAGCCCCTTCTCTTCAGGATCTAGTAATGCCAATTCTTTGGTATTACTACACTATTTTGCACCTCTCAATCTTTACTCAGGCCAGTCACTCTGCCTCAAATCACCTTTCCTAGATTGCTCAAGCAGCTATAACAAAGTAACACAGGTTGGGTGGCTTAAACAACAGAAACTTATAAATTTATAGATCAAGTTGTCAGCAGGTTTGGTTTCTTCTGAAGCCTCTCTCCTTGGCTTGCAGATAGCCATCCTCTCCCTGTGTCCTCGCATGTCCTTTCCTCTGCACATGTACCTCCCTGGTGTTTCTTTGTGTGTCCAAATTTCCTCTTCTTATAAGGATACCAGTCTTATTGGATAGGGCCCAGCCTAATAG